ACGCTTGTCCGTACTGCCATTTTTAAAAGCTAGATCGGGTCCGCGGCGTCCGTTCCCTCACGTTTTAGTTTCAATCTGCAGTGGTGCCGGCGCCGGTGAAGCAGCAGCGTCAAAAATGGTGAAGGATCGCAAATTTGGAGTGGCTCTCGATTTCTCCAACAGCAGCAAAAATGCTCTGCGATGGGCCATCGATAACTTGGCCGACAAAGGCGACACTCTCTTCGTCATCTACGTAAACCCCAACTCGCTCGATGAATCTGCCCATCAGCTCTGGGCTGAATCCGGCTCTCGTTCGTCATCCCTTTTCTTTTTTCTTTCTCTGATTTCACAGATTTTTGTAAATCCTGTAAATCTGATCCGATTGGGTTTCTGCAGCTCTGATTCCGTTGTCCGAATTCCGAGAGCCGGATGTACTGAGGAAATACGATGTCAAAATCGACATCGAAGCCCTAGATATTCTCGATACTGGCGCTAGACAGAAAGAGGTACTGATTTTGATCAGCCCTTGATTTTAATCACAGTGGTGCGGTGAGGCTAATTTTGAAATTAAACTGTGATTTTAGATTAATGTTGTGGCGAAGCTGTACTGGGGAGATGCGAGGGAGAAGATTATCGATGCGATCGAAGATCTGAAGCTGGAATCTCTGGTAATGGGAAGCAGAGGACTGAGTACCATCCGAAGGTTTGTCTTCTTTCCTGTTCTACAACGAATCATTTGAAGTTTTTGGGAACTGAAAAATTTTCCGTTTGGTTGATCGTAAAACAGGATTCTGCTTGGGAGTGTCAGCAATTACGTGATTACTCATGCTCCTTGTCCTGTGACAGTCGTCAAGGAAGCAAACTTTCAGAGTCATTAAGGCGAGAAATCGGTGAATGGGGCTTTGTTTGATCGTGTTACTTAAACTATCTTTATGCTTAAACTTATGAAGTTTTAGAAAATGGTGTTTAATTTGTGTCCTTGTTGAACCTTGATAATTTCCCTGTTTTCAGGCAATAAAATATATAAGAGTTTGTATTTCATCTTCGTCTTGAAAATAAGTTGAAACCACCGCAGGGATTGTGGCTCAAGTAATTGTAGATTAGCAGATTTGATCGGAATTAGAACAATAGTAATTAATTAGTTTACTAGAAATATTATATTTAGTTTATCTTGACTAATTGGATAATGGGTGAATATTATATTTAAGAACTGTCCCCCCCATGTGCTCTGTTGTTTCAGGACTGCCTTCTCATTGTTGTTTATTTTCTGAAATATTAGTATATAGAAATAGCCTGATCTAAAACTTCTTGGTTAAGTATAAGCGGCCTATTTTGAAAATACATATTTTTAGTTCACATACCTTAATTGCAGCTAATTTTTTAAGAATAATTAATTGAAGATAAATATCTTTTTAATAATTGTATGGTAATCTTAAATTTTCATGCCTCTTAAACTGCAGCTATTGGAACTAATTTTAGAAAATGATCTTACAACAGTAATTTGTCAAATATTTCCCTAAAAAAAAAAGGTTGTCAAATAGTCTCTTTCAAATTTGTTCTCTCTTTTGGAGTTTGATTCGTAGAGCTAAGTTAATTGGTGATTAATTTTTTTTTTTTTAGAAAATTATTTAAAATATTTGATTTAGGTAAAATTGTCAATAATCGATGTTTTCAATTCAGTCGGCTCCTTTGGGGATTTTAACAGAAATCCTGTGGGAGGGAAAAGAGGGAATCCAAGCTTTCGAATTAGGAGATGATGAAATTACAYGACTCGCCCTCTTATCCGTTCAAATGTGTTGTCCGATTTGACAGGCTATATTGTCAAAATTCGACTTAACTTTTTTAATATTTTATTTAATCACTTTATTCTTTATGTTTTTCTAATGTTACGTGTTTGAGACTATCTAAGAAAACTACTCTCATGGATGAGTTTTTTTTTTTCTTTTTCAAAGTTGATGAGTGACTTTTTGTTTTTGGTCATTGCATCATTGCATTTTTTGAAAAATATTTCAAGTAGGAGAAATTTAGAGTTTGATAGTTGTTCAACTATTTATCTTTATGTTGATAGCTCTACAATTTTTATCTATAATTCTAAAAAGAGTATGCGATTTCGAGAAGGCTTACATTTTCAATAATTAAGCTGAATATTTATAATATCTAGAGATAGGTTTCTCATTGTGAATTTTTCTTTTCAACTAATAAAAAATTAAATGCAGCTTAGAAGACTAAATTATATGTTTCTGTTTGTTCATTGAAAATATATTTACACACACAACATGGAACCTCTAAAGAATTGAAACCACGGTCCGCGCCAACAAATTAAACAGGACAATAAACCTAACTAAATTGACAAAAGTGGGACAATGAATTTGATACAACTATTTTTTTTAATCATTTGAAAATTGTAATCTTATCTTCAAATTGACCAAATTAATTGGATTTAATTTTTCTCAAAATCTTCTTAGACCAAAGTTGGTCTTATGTTGTTTTAAGCACCCACCTAAATGAACTTAAATAGCATATAAATAACCCTATGCTTTTTATAATAAAAAAAATTAGTGACCAAGATCATATGTTTGAGCTGTTTGAGGCACATATTTTCAACTAAAATGTAAGACATCAACTAAAAAACAATAATAACAATAATGATAATGGTGTTTTAAATAATTTTGAAAATAGAAATAAAAAGCTAATTTTATGGATAATTGGCAACAGAATGCACAAACTTTTCCTTTCGTGTGAAGCGAGCCTCAAAATCAGTCACCATTACCAAACCACCACAACCAATGGGAGGCATTTAAGAAGGCACATTTGCTTGCAGTTCTTGGCTCCAACCAACCAGCCACGGCCTAATGATGAAAACAGAGTAAATTGTACCAGAATTTGTATTATATTTAATGATCATTTGATGATCCGTCACTCGTAAGATTACATCTAATCACATTTCTTAAGTCATTCAGATCCTAAAGTAAAGCAACCGTAAAAGAACAAAAACAACAACAAAATGTTACCATAAATCCCCATTCAATTTTGTTGTTTTTCACCCATCAGTTCAAATTCCGGGACCAGAAAGCAACATTTTGCGGCCATTAATGCAGAAATAGGCTCTTCATGTGTTTGAGCAAGTTTCAGTAATCATTTCTTCCTCCTCTTCACGCTATATATGAAACTCACCATGCTTTTTCCAACACCCTCCAATTTCTGGGTTGGTTAAAAACCCAATGGACGTAAATTTCGCCCACCAAGAACAAGAGAGAGTGCCAATTCGATTTCGAAACCACTCGCTCAAGCTTTGTCTTCCTAATTTGGTGAACCACGATTGTTCGAACCCATTCTCCATTTTGCGCCGCTGGGTTTGGAAATCTGCTCGAAAGGTGTTCCCAAGCGGGTTCTGCTGCAGAGGGCTCGAATACAAGGGAATGGTGGTGAATAACTCCACGTTTTGTTCTTCCCCAGCGTTTCTGGAAGAAGTTGCGATGGAGATTCGGGTTGAGGACAAAGAAGGGAAGGAAGAGAAATGTGATATGTTTGGTAATGCCCATAAGGTGTTTGATGAAAAGCGTGGGGATGGGGAAAGCGCTTCTAGTTCTAGTTCTGATTTGTTGACATCTGAGGCAACGGGGAGTCATGATGAAGAGTCATCTTCATCAACTTTAATGGGCTGGCCTCTTAATCAGACGGTTGGTGAAGAGGGTGGCGGTGATAAACTCCATTTTGACGACAGGGAGCTGGAGAGAGAAGCATCATCAGTGTCAGGTATAGGCTGGTACTATTTTTATAACACAAGATGATTCTGGTGATTGGTGAATCTGATGTTGTGATAGTTTTGTGTTGTGGATTTTGGGGTTTCAGAGATGGAGATAATGGAGAGGTTTTCAAAGCTGCTGCTGGGTGAAGACATGTCAGGCTGTGGAAATGGAGTCTCTACTGCTTTGGCTATTTCTAATGCCATTACCAATCTTTGCGGTATGTCAATTATTTGTCTTTCCATGGAATCTCTTGGGCTCAAAAAAGATATATATATATAAAAAAACGACAACAAAAGATGGTAACACTAAATAATAGATTATTGTTCTTTTGTTTAGGCCCAACTTGGACCCAAATACTACTAGCAAGTAGCACTAGCGATAATAGAAATATATATTTATAAGAAAAATTTATGTTCTTATTAATATATGTTTTTTTTTGKGCTAAGGAGTTGTAACATATCAACTATAGATAATAATTAATTGGTAATAATTTTTTATTTAACATAGATACACTAATCATCAAAATCAATTTATACCGGTAGATTTTGCATACTTCTGTTAATTGTGATTCCGAGCCTAGTTTTGTATATTGTACATCTCTTTATATATTTTCAAACCTTCGTAAACTTATTTATTTTTGTAATTATAATCTTTGTTGTTTGAGAGAAGTTAACAAATAATTTATCTTTAAAATTTTAAGTTAAATTATTTGTTAACCTTCAATGAATATGCATGTGGTTTATACCTGGTATAGAATTTTAACTTCATTACAAAAATTCAATATAGATAAATTCCAAAAATGCAAGGTGTTTCATTTCTATTATCGAATTTTTATCGAATACTAAAACATGTAGTATTAGAATTCCAAAAAAGGTGGAAATTTGATCGTACAAAGTTGTGATGGTGGGATTGTTGAACTTTCAGCCACTCTGTTTGGGCAATTATGGAGATTAGAACCGTTGGCTGCAGAGAGAAAAGGCATGTGGCGAAGGGAGATGGAATGGTTACTGTGTGTTAGCAATCACATCGTCGAGCTGATTCCCGTTTGGCAGACATTCCCAGATGGAAGCAAACTTGAGGTTCAATTCAAAATATCCAAATATCTTTTTACCAAATTCCTCTCTCTACAACTTTTCTTTATCTTCTTTCTTTTGGCTGATCAGATAATGACTTGCCGGCCCCGTTCAGATCTTTACGCCAACCTCCCAGCCCTCCGTAAATTAGACCACATGCTGCTCGTAAGTTTATTTCTCAACCCCACCTTAAAAAACCTTTAAAAACCCAGTCTTTGAACACGATTATGATGAAAAGATTGGTGTCATTTTGCAGGATATATTGGACAGTTTTGTTGATTCGGAGTTCTGGTACGTTGATCAAGGGATTCTCGCCGCAGAGGCCGATGGGTCCTCTTTCCGTAAGCTTCTGGAGCGCCAAGAAGACAAGTGGTGGCTTCCGGTCCCTCGAGTCCCCAGTGGAGGCCTTTCTGAAGCTTCGAGAAGGCAGCTGCAGCACAAGCGCGACTGCACCAACCAAATTCTCAAAGCCGCCATGGCTATCAACTCTGTTACTCTGGCTGACATGGATGTCCCTGATTCTTATCTTGAGGCCCTTCCAAAGGTAAGAAAAATAGTAACTTTTTGCAGTTCTTAATAAGAGATTATATTTATCGTAATTTATTCSCTTAAGTTTTTTGTGTTCCACGGTGATTTAACATAATTAAGAGAGCCCACTGATATGACTGATATGTAATTAGTTACAGAGCTGGTATTAGTTAAAGAGTAGGTGGAATCTGTTATTCAAGTTGTTAGCTATCACTTTGTAAGTCTGTACACTACTTCCCTTCTATATAAAGGGAATACTGTAACCTTGATGATTCAAGATATCAAATATGAATTCGTGCTCATCCTACTCTTACCTTCTTATCATAGTCTGATAAACATGTTAATAGCGACATTCTAGGTTTGAATTTCTTTAATCTCATACCTTGGTTTTTAGTCTAGTGTTAGTTAGGCCTATAAAAAAATTAGAGGCTTGGTGCAAAACTTCAAATCACTGCAGCTACCTACCGAAGAAGTCATATCAAACAATTAACATTCACAGTCATTTGTCCGGTCTTGTGTTAATTTTCAAGCCGACAAATGAGAGGAGTAATAAAAATATGAATTAAAAAGTTAAATTTATGGTACTTGTACTTTGGTTATTGGTGATTTAACATGAACCTAGTTTTTCTGTTTAAACTTTGTTTCAGAATGGAAGAGCGAGCTTGGGAGAAGGGATTTACAGGCACATATCGTCAGATGAATTTTCCCCTGTTTGCTTACTGGAATGTCTAGACATGTCCTCGGAGCACCAAGCCATAGAGATAGCCAACCGAGTTGAGGCCGCTATGTATGCATGGCGCAAAGGAATGGGCTCAAAACCAACCAATAATTCATTGCGTTCGAGCGCAAAGTCGTCGTGGGAAATGCTGAAGGAGCTGGTGATTGATGCAGACAAAAGCGAGCTGTTTGCAGAAAGAGCAGAATCTGTACTATACTGCCTCAAGCAACAGTTCCCAAATCTCCCTCAAACAAACCTTGACATGAGCAAAATCCAGCACAACAAGGTCTCTCTCTCTCTTAGCATTCCAATAATTTCCCACTTCTAGTTTCAACACACATGATTTGGATTTGGTTGCTCTGTTTAGGATGTGGGCAAGGCTATTTTGGAGAGCTACTCGAGAGTGTTGGAGAGCTTGGCGTTTAACATCGTAGCCCGTATTGACGATCTGCTTTATGTGGATGATTTGGCGAAGCATTCAGATGAAATTCCAAGGATTTCCCAATTGGGAATCGTTGCTCATAATACCAGTAATCGGATCCAATTCTCGGTGCCATTTTCCAGCTCCCCTTATACCACAACATTTACAAAGCCCAGCTTCTCGCCGATTCCGATCATCAGCCAAACTCCGCATCGTGGTATTGGCGTAAACAATGAGTCAATAGACAATGTAGCGTCCATGAAGGGATGTGGTAATTTCATTGAAAAGTTGGATTTAGTAGCTGAAATAGCTGAAGATGAAGGATCAGAAAGATCTAAATTTGGCAAAACCCAAGATTTTAGTAAATGCGGAGACAGCATAATGAACTGACCATACATGGTTCCCCGATAAGATTAAATCTCTAAGTTTGGTCGTCGGAGTTACAGGTACAAATTAATCTTTAATTGTATACAAAGGTCAAAGGGAAGCTATATTTTTCCCTTGTGTAAATTTGTCTTGTGTGGCCTGGAGTGGTAGAACTTAAGAGGCTGTATATTTTGTATATTATGAATTTACATGTTTAATCAACAAGTCGTTGTAGTATAGTGGTAAGTATTCCCGCCTGTCACGCGGGTGACCCGGGTTCGATCCCCGGCAACGGCGTATTTGTACAATTTTTAATTAAAATTTCAATTTCATAGCTCTATATAAATATTCAATTCCACGTTGTAGTATAGTGGTGAGTATTCCCGCCTGTCACGCGGATGATCCGGGTTCGATCCCCGGCAACGGCGTAATTAAATAGTTTTTAATATAATTTTAGTTTCATGGCTGCACGTACGTCTTATAATAAAAATGAATTTTTTTATCACACACAGTCTTGTAACATTATGGTAACTTTTATCGCCTAACATGCATGTGATCCTGCGTTTGATCCCTAGCCGTACTTTTCTGTATTATTTAATTCTAACTCTCTTCATTTTACCTTCATGGTCGAGAAGCGCGTGTTCAATTTACCCAGTTTTTAAAAATTCAAAATACGGTAAAAAAATAATTTCGACAATTTATTATTTACYAACATTTTTAAAAATTATTCAACGTGTAAACAACCCAGATTTGATAGAACATTGAGAGCCTAGCAATAGGGCACGCAGATTCTTAATTAATTGTAGATTTCAGTGGGAGATCTAGAGTAGAAAATATGGAAAAGCAGAGAAAGTATTGAAAAGGATAGCAAGAATTTTTGCCAACCCCCACTTGTGCTGATCAAAGTTGAAATTTGATAGCCAGGAAAAACACATTTTCACCATTTTAAGAAACATCTAAGAATCATTCCTCGGATAATTAAGGTGATAAAAGATAAGCAGCATACGAGGCTAAGGATATATAATATTCGCAAGCAGTTCCAGATTCCCCCGTCTCCATATCCATTTCTCCATACCAAATACAGAAGCATATTATATATGTACATACTTTAAACATTACTTAACTTAATAATTCATGCTGGTTCTGTGTTGGAAGATGTAACGATAAGATGTCCTAGATATTAGAGGTTCTTATGTACCTGCGAAAAAGCATATGGAGCAGGGATTAAGGATCAATATAGCTAAGTTTCATTTTGAGCATATATATATCTGCTGTTAAGCAGAAGAGCGCTGCAAAATTAGTTTAAAGGGTTTGATGGAAAGGGGAACAGCCATGGAAATGAAAAACCTTGATGGGGGATGATGCCATGACCGGCAGGTGAGATTCTCAGTAGTAGAGAGAGCCTGCATTTTTCGAAAATAAAAATGTAAGTGAATCTTCGGACTCTGCAGCGAAAGAATTTTAGTTGTGACATTTCATCAAACACCTCATCTGCATCACGTACCTTTCCACCAGTTTCCTCTGGAAGCACCACCCGAATCATCATCATCTTCTTCCCCATCTTTCTTAATCTGAAAAAGTCCCAATGCAAATTAATAGATTCTTCAGAACAAAAGAGTGGGGTTTGCGGAAAATAATGCCACAATACTCACGGAAGAGTTCAATCCAGTTGCAGGGTTTTGGGTATTGTGGGGGTGGGGATACACATCCTGACCACCATAGTAGATTGAAGAACTAAGATGACATGGGTGTGCAATTTGTTCCTGATTAAACGAACTCGCTTCTCTGCTTGATGTGTTCTGGCTCTTCGTTTCCTTACTCTTGGAGTTTGATTCTGCAGAGACAACAGGCTCCCAATAACTTATCACTTCCATTTTACTAGCAAAAAATTAGATACGAACAGAGTAACGCAACGAACCAGTCTTGGGGTGCCATGGAATTTCTTCTCTTTTCCCATCGACTTCGGAGCGCTGAGAAAAAGACAAGGAATCAGGCAAACCCCCAAATTTGACTTAAAAGGCCACCGCCCAATAGGAGACTTTTTTGCGAGGGAGAATTTAAATCCTCTATTAGAAAATTTAAACGGATGATTTTTTTTTCGAGAATAACGGATGATTTTTTTTTTCGAGAATATGTCAATTACTGTCAAACTAAATTCACACTCATGTTCCTAATTATTAATATTAATAGTGCAAATAAATCATTATTGTATTGATATAAGTAACATCTTGTGATCCTAAAGTAAAATAATAGTATTAAATAGACAATACCATGCGTATACCATTTTTAATAATATAAAAAGAGATTCATAATCTTGATAACTATTTTTTTCGATTTGAGCTCGAATAAGAAGTGGGGTGAAATTGAACTCTCTAAAAAAAAAAAATAATAATAATAATATAAAGTTGTTGGAGAAAGGAAAGAAAAGTAGAGGCATACTTGGAGTAAAGAGGCGAAAATGTGATTGGAAGAATGGCCAATTGGTTTGTTGTCGGACATTTTGTTGGCCGCCCAACCTAAGGTATAGCCTATACAACAATCGCACCCACCAATTTATACAACCAAATTTCACCCTTCACTTTCACTTTTGTTCCTAACAAGAATATTATTATTAACAGCGTGTTATATTTGTTGTTTTAGTTTGTTCCAATATAATTCCAATCCAGCTGACATACAAATACTTCTTCATCTGATGCTGTGATGATCATATGATTACAAAAAAAAATAAAATAAAATAAAAACTACTCTCCAACTAACTTAATTCTACCAAATTCTTGTTGTTTTAATTACCACTCAAATTTTAGAAAATGTTTGTGTTTGGTTGATTATCATTATATATTATTTTTTACAATAAGAGAGAAGGGTGAGAAAATGGAATCAAACCCATTAGAGAATTTGTTATTTTTTTTTTTGTATTGAGATTAGACTTTCAATTTTGAATTTCTCTTTTCCCTGTTATTTTTTCTGCGTTTTGTTTTTCCATCTATTATAAATGGAGATAGATGGATCATTTGGTAGATGGACACAAATAGAGAGTCGTGAAAAATTCTTCAAGAAAGGAGAGTTTGAAGAGCTAAATACTTGTGTAGTGATTCGTGAGATTTTTTGTGTGAGAAGAGATAAATCATTGCATAGGACTTGTAAACTCTTAGAAATTCTCCCCGGTATTTTTTTTGGGTTTGTAAAGTGTGCAACCAAAGTCCTACCTTGGTTAGAGAAAAAAGTAATATCCATGGTATATAAATAAAGACAATTATCTCCATTAATTTGAGACTTTTTGGATAGGATTATCCCAAAAATGAATTAGATAATTATTGGTTTGTTGTATTATTTCTCTAATAGAGAGAGAACGCGTAGAAAAAGAGACCAACAAATAAAAAGCTTTCAAATTTTTAACGGTGAAGTTAAATTTTTTACTAATAAGAAAGAGGAACATTGAGAGAGGGGAAAAATACTTATTATAACATAAAATTTGATAGCTCTTCATTTTTTTTCTAATAAAAAATATCTTCTTTCTGCAATTCTCTGCATCTACCTATCAAAATTTTAATGGTGGTGGGGAAGAGAGATTTTTAATTAATTTATATATTTTTCTTAAGTTAATAGCTAACGAATTTGTGGTGATGGGGTAGAAGAGGATTTCTTAATTATGGGTCAATTTTGAATTTTCAAAGAGAGAGACAGCAGCACGTGAAGAGAAGGAATCSTTGTAACTGGATGGTAYGAAATTCTTGTTGCTATCAAATTTTGAGAAGTATTCATCTTTACAAGTAAAGAGAGATGGAGAAAAACAGATGTTATCTTTTCTTTCTATGTTTTGAAAAACTAAAAATTTGTTAAATTTTTATTTGCCGAACAAAGATGAATAATATTTAGATGTTTATTAGTCAGCACTTTTCAAACTTTTACTAATAAGAAATATGAGCTTACGGAGAGAGAACAAAATACTTACAACCCTTCAAAATTCAACAACTTGTCATTATTTTCTTCTTATAAACATATGAAAGTGCTTTTATACCCTTTAAGAATTGTGTTTGAAAATATTGAAAATAATAAATACAACTCTATTTCTTTGATCATCAACAAAATACATCGTCCTTAATTATATATCAATTATGAATTTTCGGAGAGAGAAGCAGCKCGTGGAAGAAGGAATCCTTATAACTACCATGGCAGAAGAGATGAGAACTTATTAGTGTCACATAGAACTAGAGAGTCTGCACTAATTCTGAAAAACAAAAGCCATTGGTTTATTACTCAGAGAACCTTTTCTTTTTATTAGCAAGTTTTTGGTTGCATGAAGAGTAGCAGAATCTGTCATTGACATCGACAATCCCAACCCCAAACATGGAATAATGGAATTCTCTCTCTCTCTCTTGTCGCCTTATCCTTTTATCCTGTCGGACCTCTAACGAAACTCATTTTCTCATGGACTATACCATATCCTCTTCATTATTATTCCATTCTATAACGTGTTGGGATGGAAAATGTTCTTATACATRCTCCGATACTCCCTTCGTTCACACCACAATTTGATTATTTAACGTTGATGGACCTTACATCATATTTATCATTTTTAAATGAGGCTGATATGAAACACAATAAATAACAACCGTAGTATTATATATCAGAGAAGGGATGAAAATGGTACGGGGGAAACCAAATTTTAGAATTGTATTGATTACACAAGTGTACAAGTGTTTGTTGAAGATCACTCACAACTCACAATCACATGCCATGTTTCTCTTTTTAAAACGCATCACCAAAACCCCATTTCCCATTCTATTCCTCATATCATACTCATCCAATTGCTTGATGCCCATTATATTATTTTTCCAATTTCCCCTTAATTGGAATTTCATTGCTTCTCTCATCTCTACAAAAAGAATTGGGTCATCTTTAATTTTTCGTGGGGATGCAAATTGAAAGCAAACTTTAAAATTCTTAATGTTTTTTTTTCTTTTTTAATTTATTGAGGGGCCTTTCTTTTTAGCTGAACTAAGGAATATAATTACATGACGGCTGTGGCTATGGCTTGGCATCATCGGTTGTCAGTTTTCAAYGGGACAAATTAAGCCAAGCATCGCGACAACCGCACCCCAATTCCCACCTGTCTTTGTTCATAGTATTCTCATCATTATTCATAGTATTTTTTTCCCTTTTAATTTTCTTCCCAACGTATTTTTGTGTTTTTTATTTCCGTTTAAAGAGATGCTTCAATTTATGGTTAAAAGCAACGGCAGCCTGTTCCTATTGCTAATTCCATAACCCATAGGCTAGAAAATTTGGAAGGACCACTGGGACTGGGACATCCATATTTTATGTGTTCTTTTTTTTTTTTTTTTTGTGGCAATTGCTATAAATGGGAAGGTTGGATATTTTCATTCACGATCACAATACAGCTCACAGTTATTTTCTTGGTAATTTTGTTGAATAGTGTTTTTACTGAACTTGAGTTTTGTTAACCCATTATTTGAGGATAAATTTTAGTATTATTCAAATGTTAAAAAGAAATAAATTGATTAAAAAATTTTATGAATATCATAATAGAAAGAGCGTTTAAAATGAAGTACTTGAAATGGGATTCTTAGTAGACTTCCAGATCAGAGGTTTGCCAAAGAGAACTTGCAAAAAAAGGTTACATCTTTGCAACTGGCTCTGGCAGTGATCATACCCGATAAACACCATCTGAAAATCAACAGTTGAAAACGTAGGCCGTGATAAGGCCCAAAATACTACAGGGCCACCTTCAGGAAGACGCGTAATGAAGAGGCCCAAATAACTTCCTGGAGAAAACGAAGTGGCCCATGAATTTGGGCTAGGAAGTTGGAAGTCGTCTGAAATTGGGTTCTTTTCCCTTGGCCCATTGGAGAAGCCGATTATCCAAACAGCCCCCTCGCTTGTGAAAATTTTCAATACTGCCCCTAATTCAAATATATAGCCGACAATTTAAGTCACCAGTTGGGTATTCCCATAATATATATATATATATTTTGACTCTTCAAACTTTTTTTTTACGACACGTAGGTTGAGGATCGAATTCAAAACTTCTTGATCGAAAATATACGTCAATTACCGTTGAATTATATTCATTTTGACTGATTCTGGAAACGTTGTAGGCAAGTTTACACAACTTTCAATCGAATATAATTCAACAAGACAAAAGAATAATAACTCCTTTGAGAGGTAGGAAGTTTCTCAATTTCTTTCTTTTATCTTATAGAAAATTAATTTTACAAATTTATCCTAGAAGAAATAAAACTATATTCTCTTCCTATACTATACATTCATGGACAAACCAAAGCTAGCTTTTTTTACTTCTGTGGAACAACCTCCATTTTAATTGTTGGTCTCAACTCAAGCTTGTCCACTCCCACAGAGAACTTTCCTCTTTTGTAAAGGAAGCCATTGAAAAGCAAGGAAGGAGACCTATCCCCTGCAGCTTTAGCAAACAGGACTTTTTTTTTTTCCTTCACGTGAAACCACAGTGCGAATGGATGAATATGATATAGAGTTGTACTTGTAGAATCTCCAAACCAAACACATATTCACGAGTGGCTTATCTCTTAAGAGTTTTATTAACCATTATGTATTATTCTATGATAAAATAGTATGGTTTGTTAAACATGCCAATTAAACAATAGTCTCGTATTAGTTTAGAATTAAAAAAAGAACATTTACATATTTCAYTGATCTAAAATTTGATTAGAAGTATCTAAAACTTAAAATTCACATTACTATATACATCCGTGTCGAGTCTTCTTTACTCATTTAAATTAAAGAAATGAAAGRTAAGCTTTAGGATTTTTCAGAAAAACRTGTATGGATAAGCTTCCTTTSAAAAACTTTTCTCAAAAGAACATTTTGAAGCACATGTAMATTACAACTTGGAATTAAAACTTTCAATT